ATCCCCAGCGCCCCTCACCCTCACCCCCACCCTGCTGCCAGCTTCTCCCCTTCCTTGCGCCCTCGAGGCTTCCTGCTCCTCGGGTGACTCCGGGGTACCCCCCTCCCACCTTACGCTTTTCCTCTCGGAGTCAGCGGACTACACGTGTATCCAGGGGCAGTCCTACAGATCCCAAGCGCTTGGGCACTTTCAGACGCCTGAGCGGTTCCTATAGCAACGGGAAGCCGGAAGTGTGTCTGCGACCGGAAGCGGAAGTCCGATCGAGGAGTTCGGCAGCCGCCGCGGCGGGTAGTGAGCGCCGGTGCGGTTCTGGTGCACGTGGAGCCGCGCGGTGAGGGCCGGGGCCTGAAGGCGGGCGGCGGCGGAGGCGCCCTCTTCCAGCCGCGGGGCCTGGGCCTGCGCCGCTTCCTCCGGTAGTTGTCGGGCGTGCGCGCGAGATGGACACTCCCCTGCCCTCGGGCTCCGACTCGGATTCTGAAGAATCTCTCGTCACTGACCGAGAGGTAGGTGCAGCCGACCCGCGCGGCTGGGCCGGAGGGGGGGCGTCCTTACTCCCCTGGCACTGAGGCCAGTCGTTCCCCGCAGTTGCAGGATGCGTTTTCGCGAGGGCTCCTGAAGCCAGGCCTCAATGTCGTGCTAGAGGGTCCGAAAAAAGCCGTGAACGACGTGGTGAGCTGGGGCGCCAGGGCGGGGTGCTGGGCACGGGGTGAGCGCCAGGGACGGTTGCGCTCGGGTGGGTGAGTCCTGTCCCAGGAAGGACGCAGCCTGCGCCTTGCCAAGAGGGTTAGTTACTTGTTGGGGTGCAGGGGGTTAGCACTTTGTCGGTTGGCCTGGCACCCAGGGCTTGGGAGAGACATATTAAGGGTTCCCTTCTTAGGAGCTCAGTGTCTGAATTTCTTAGAATGGCCTGAAGCACTGTTTGGCAGAATTCAAGCGGGATCTGGAATGGGTTGAAAGGCTTGATATCACCCTCGGTCCAGTGCCAGAAATCAATGGAACTCAGTCAACACCTCAGAACGAGGATCAGAAAGCTGTTGATCCAGAAGATGACTTCCAGCGGGAGATGAGCTTGTATGTTTGTATATTTGATTTCAAATGTGGGAGGAGTTGGGGGTCCCTGTGCTACATGGGGGAGGGAGAAAATGGTGAGCCTGTACTCCTCAGAAGGTATCAAAAGCCTGGGAGCAGGGAGGAAGTCTTCTTTTGATTAAAAAGAGTTGAAGGTTTTTTTGTGGGTTTTTTTGCTTGTGTGGACAATTATTAGAAGATTTTTCTTATAGAAAGTTCTTATATAGACTCTTTTAGTGACTACATAAGAATCATAATTGGATTGTCATTAGCTTGAAGTTCATAGGTACTTTTAGAGTGGTCATTCTCTGAAACTACTAATTTTCAGTAGTCCTTACCTCCCTTGTAAAAGAGTGTACAGTTAAATTTCGTCCAGATACCAAGTTAATGAGGTTTTATTACCGTTTTTGTCTTTGTGTGTATCTTCTTGCTAGCGGAGGTCAGATGCTGAGAGAGAGCCCTTCTGACCTCGGATAACTCATGAGAGGCAGTGAGAAGGAATGTAAGCCCTCTCCCACTTAGCTGGTTTCACACTTTATCCTGTATCCTCAGCTACCGTCAGGCCCAGGCTGCAGTGCTTGCAGTGTTACCTCGTCTCCATCAGCTCAAAGTCCCTACTAAGCGGCCCACTGATTATTTTGCTGAGATGGCCAAGTCTGATCAGCAGATGCAGAAGGTAAGAAACAGGGAGGGTTCTTTTTTTTCTGGAAAGCCGGGGCTTTGTACTTTTAAGTATATTTAGCTGGCTAATCTCCTAAAAGGTTTAAAAAAAGACGAAGCCTAATAATAGGGAAGTGGTTGTCAGAGGGCAATTATTATCTCTATTGTCTACTTCAGACTCATGTCAGTCACCACCAGTTAGATAAATATAAGGGTGACTTTTTCCTAATTTAAACAGTTAAGGGAAGGAAAAGTACTGGAAGAAGTGTGGTCCCTAAGGTAGAGATGGTGTTTTGCATTTCCTGGCTGGCATGATCATGGCATGGTGTGTAGAAAAAATACAGATCCTGTCCTATTGCCAGGGGGCAGTGCTACAACTTGTAGACAATTCATTTTCTCTGGGCTTCAGTTTTCTATAAAATGAGGGATTCAGGTATGGCTCAGATGTAGTATAATTTAGAGTTAGGTAGAACTTGGTCCTTGTTTAACTTTGTGAGGAAGAGAATTGCCAAAATCTGATCCAAGATGTATTGAAATAGTTCCCTTGGGTCTCAAGCTCGATTTTAGGGAGCTCTTATCTTGGTGGTACTTAGGGAAGCTAACCTAGAGATGGGCCCAGACACATCTCTGTACATTCACACTAACAACTGCTCATCTTTTAACTGAAATGTGTATGTTTCATGGAAAAGGCTGACTGATCTGTTGGAGTTTTAATGTGTATGTGGTATATTGGAGAAGGGAACTGGGGTTGCATTGCTGGTTTAACCTCAGTCTGCAGACAATAGAGATGTACAGAAGTTAATTTCTCTTGGCAAAATTGCAAGCAAGCAGTTTTGTATAATGGAACAAATGGTACACTAGGAGTGAGAAGGTTGCTTTCAAGTTCTAGCTTCACTACTGATATGTTTGGTATCTTGGACGAAGTGCTCAGTCTTTGGGCCACATTGTCCTCATGTGTAAATCATCTTGGAATAGATGATTTACAAGGTTCCTTTGAGCTCCATAGTTTGCAGAACAGGGAATATCTGTTTCCTGCTCCAATGTACCCAAAATAGCAGTCATCCCAGATTCAAATAACATACACTAACATTTGTGTTTTAGATTCGACAAAAGCTGCAGGCTAAACAGGCTGCCATGGAGAAGTCGGAAAAGGCTAAGCAACTTCGAGCACTTAGGAAATACGGAAAGAAGGTGAGAAGGAAAGTGGCGCGGGATAGAATGATGCTGGGTGTGTTTGTCAGGCCAGATTGCCCCGGTCTGATTTGGTTCCATGACCTTTATGTGTTCGATCATGTGTTTGTTATCTCATAGTGGAGTGTGCGCATGTATGCTAGTATTCATGAGCACAATCTTCCCTTGACGCCAGTGTGTTACCAGGAGTAGTGTGGTAACTGTAGCAAGTCATTTACCTCTCCAGTTTGTATTTCTATACAGTGAAGAGTTGGGGGGTCCAGATCAGTGGTTTCCAAACCTGATCTCACAGCAGAACCACCTGGAGAAGTTTTTCAAAACAGATTTCTAGGCTTCAGTATCTCTGGGAATCGGTGTATGTTTTCTTCCCTTCCCCCAAAAGCTTCTCAGATGATCACTGGCCTAGATGATTGTAAAGTCCTTGAAAGAATCATATTGTCATTTAATCAGTGAGGGGAAAAAATGGTACCCGTGAGTTTGAACTATGACTGAGTTCTAATGTGAAATCAGAGCAGGCATACCCTGAAACTTTTGGTTTTTCTTCTTTATTTCATGGTCACTTAAGAAAGGTGACAGAAATTAAAGGGTTGTGGGGAAAAATGCGTGTGGGGAGGTTCATTGTGGGTGAGAATAAACATTATGATCTGGGGTGTTGAGCTGCTGTCCTCATTTGGAATCCTCAGTGGAGTAGGACTAGATGAGCATCCTGTCCTCTGCAAACAGGGAGCTATGGATTTATTGGATTGATCTGGTGGTTGATGGCTGAGATCAACTCAAAAACATGGGCAGTTGGTTTAACATAAATTATCAGAAGCAAAGAAAAATTCATTCAGGCCAATTATCTCACTCTTTCTAATTTGAGGAATCTCAGGGCACTGGTTCTGAACTAGGGATGATTTTGCTTCCCAGGGATTTTTTGGTTATGTCAGAGACATTTTGGTTGCTGCGTCTGTGTGGGGAGTGTGCAGCTGCATCTGGTGGGTAGAGGACAGGAAGGCTGCTAAACATCCCACAATGCCCAGGACAGGCTGCGCACCCCCAACAGGGAGTTATCCTGCCTGATCTGTGAGTAGTGTTGAGATTGAGAAACCTGCCTTAGAGTAAATGCATTTCCTTTTGTCCTTAAAGCTTCTTTTCTCTTTTGATTTGGGGGGAGATTGTTTTTTTCTGTTGGTACTTTCATGCCTAGTAACAATAAGGTATTTAATTGGCACAGATACAATCAATGGGGAGAATTGAATGTGGACCTAAACATGATTCACTACAGTTTTGTAGGCAGGATTGTGTAATGGAGGAAGAATGCAGATTGCCTGCGTGTGAATCTCAGCTCTGAACTTTCCTGCTGTGTGACTGGGGCAAGTTACTTTACCTCTCTGTGCTTCAGTTTCAGGAATATTAAGAATTTCTGCCTCACTAGTTTGTTGGGAAGCTAAACTCATAATGTCCTTAGAACCTTCACATAGTTTTGGCACTCAGTAAACGTTCAGTGGCGGTGGTATTATCACAGTGTTGATACTGGGAGAGTATAGACACTCACAGCAATGGTTCGGAATGGGTGTAACAGGCCTGTGTCCATGTCCCAGGTGCAAACAGAGGTCCTTCAGAAGAGGCAGCGGGAGAAAGCACACATGATGAGTGCCATTAAGAAGTATCAGAAAGGTCAGTATTTCTCTCTCATATAGGGAGCAGGGTGCCTGCTAATTCTAACACCTTGCTCTGGAACCTTGATTGATTTGGACCTAAGCTTAGAGAAGGTGAGGGAAGAAGATGTGGCTCTTAAAATTAGTTCATTAAGCAACAATCTTTTGAATTTTAAGCTTTTCTTAAAATGTGATGGCACTAAATCAAATACAATTCACTCCTAGGCTTCTCAGATAAACTGGATTTTCTTGACGGAGATCAGAAACCTGTGGCACGGAGCTCAAAGGAAGGAGCTAAAGGCCAGCAGATGAAGAAGGGGTATGAAGTGTTCGGTTTGGTTTTGTGTATACTGGGCAGCAGTCACGAGTGTGGCAGGGACCGCCATAGGAGCAGCTGCAGGGTTCAGAGAAGGTTGCTGCTGCTTGTAGCTAAGACTGACCAGGCTATGTGATGGTCCTTATAGCCATGTCAGTCTTTGAAGATTAAAGGAAGGTGATTTAAGGATTTGGCACATTTGAGTGAATGTTTAGTAAAACAGTGTGATGGTTAAGAGTACAGTTAAGAGTTCAGATCCAGAGATTCTGCCCCTCATTGGGAGGGTAGTTTTCAGCAAGTTACCTTACCTTTTTAATGTTAATTTCCTCATCTATTAAAATGAATCGTGTGTGCCTCATAGTATTATAAAGATTAAAAGAGGTAATGTTGGATATTACTATTTTTTTTAGTTCACCTTTATGCATTCCTGGACACTAGGCCTAGGGGGATGATCATTTCTGTGTAATGTAGTAAATGCTAAGATGTGGCATTTGGGGAGTAGTATGGAGGCACATTGTAGAAATATCTGACCTGTCTGGGGATCAGGGTCTGGGGATGGCTTCCTGGAGGAGGATCCCACCTGAGCTTAGTCTGAAGGATGAGTAAGAATTAATAGAATAGGAGAGATGCAGGTCTGGGGAGTCCAGAAGAACACGAATGAGCAAAAGCTTAGGGATGAGAGCAGCAGGTTTGCGTGTGAAGAACAGCCAGCACTTGGTATCACTGGGAATACCGTGTGAGGCAAGGAGTGGTGAGATGTAGCTGGAGGGGACTCTGTCTGAGTCACAGAGGCAGAGTTTGTCTGTCTTGTTGAGAGACAGGGTTACACTGACGGGCTTTACTCAAAATAATGTGCAGGTCATATTCATGTTTTTAAAAGTTACAGTGGGTTCTTGTGCAAATGATAGTCTTGAGGGAGGTGGGGAAGTTAATTAGGGGACCAGTAAAGTCCAGCTGAGCAATGATAATGGCCTGAAAGTGGTCATGGGAGTAGAGAAGAGACAATAGATTGAAGGAATATCCAGGAGCTCAGTTAGCAGGATTCCATCATTGAGTTGGGTGTGGAGAGTGAGCAAAGGAAGGATTGAGGCTGACGCCCAGGCTTTAGTTTGCCTTTGGTTTTAGCCTGATGTCTGGGTAGATGGCAGCACTGCCAGCGTCTTTAGAGCATGTGCACAGAAGGTGAAACCAGAGTAGGAAGGGAGGTAACATGATTTCAGAATGCTGAGTCAGATTCCTGTGGGATGACCAGTTTTAAGATTACATTTGAATGTTACCTGCATGTATATATTCCCGAGAGGAATAGAAACAACTGAGGATGATTTCACAAGATTTAGTTAAAATAGAAAACTTTTCAAAGATAAGTGGTGAGCAACAAAATGTATGTGGATCCTTTCCTGGTCCTTGCTTTGTTGTCCTGCTCTGGTGGTTAAACCTGTGAATAGATGAGCTTGCCTGGGGAGTTTGTTGAGTAGGAATGTTGGGCCAAGGATGAGATTCTAGGGAACATAATGTCTACTTACAGACAGAATACTGAGGGTGTTGTTGGGCCATAAGATTCATCGGGATTTGCAGTGCTGATTTGTAACCTGTAAAACGCCCTTTTTGCCAGTCCCAATGCCAAACGACGTTATAAAAACCAGAAGTTTGGCTTTGGTGGTAAGAAGAAAGGCTCCAAGTGGAACACTCGTGAGAGCTACGATGATGTATCCAGCTTCCGGGCCAAGACAGCTCATGGCAAGGGCCTCAAGAGGCCTGGAAAGAAAGGATCAAATGTAAGTGGGCCTGGGGATCAGGTGAGGCGCTGGAGCAGCCTCCTCCAACCCACCTCCGCCCTCCTTCCTCTCTGTGCATCCTGGTCATGGGGCGGAAGGCCAAGCTGCTCTGTGACCACAGCTGGTGTTTCTTTTTCTGTAGAAGAGACCTGGAAAACGGACAAGAGAGAAAATGAAGAGCAGAACACGCTAAGCAGCATCTCCAAGAAAAAGTTGAAGACTTGGGATTTCACAATGCAATTGATCCCTTATGTTGGTTTCTTTTTGTAAAATATTTTTTCAATAAACTAAGAAATTCTCAAAGAAACATACACCCTTGGGCAAAAAACTCAATTAAGACTAAAAGATTTAGAAGTTACTTTTACATATTAAATAATACTTCTATACAGTGATAATTTAGACTTTGAATCCAAATTGTCTTCCTTTCATGAGAGATGACTTAATGCCCCCCCATTCTTCCCTATCCTCCTAAATAGTTATATCATTTTAGATATATCAATAATCAGTGTTTATATTATGAATATCCTTTAAATAACAATCACTGGAGTGCTAGTTGAACTATGATATTTCCTTTGTGGCACTGTTTTTGGTTTTCCTTGAGTTAATATATTTAACTCCTTATATATTTCTGTGTGCCAGTTTTCCTTCTACATCATTTTATTCTAGATGCTTTGTCATTTTAACCACCTTATAATTTTCCCACCGTAACTGAGGTCTGCCATACAACTGTCACCTTTTCCCTTTTCTAGACCTTCTAGGTTGGATCCATGATTTCCTGGATCCTGTACTTTCCTGTCTTAGCCTGTGCCTCCTTTTGCTCTATACTGTTTTCTAGTATCTTCCTAAGAAAGGGAACATGGGAGGTGACTTTCTTACCTCTTTGCATTTCTTGAATTGCCTTTCATATGGCAGGTAGGAATTTCCCTGCGAATGTTGCAGGCGTGCTTCTTTGTGTTGCGGCTCCTGTTTTGCCACTGAGAAGTCCGAGCCATTCCAGTTTCATTGTCTCTGGAAGCGTTTCTTCTCCCTGTCATCTGAAATGCCATGAGGCCATGCCTTGGCGGGTGCCTGTTTGCACTCTTTGATTAGGGCTTTTGGAAGAATGTGAGGTCTTCAGTTCTGGTAAGTTATATTGGGTAGCTTCCCCCTATTTTCTTTGTTCTCATTCTGCAATTTCTGTTAGTCAGATGTTGAACCTCTCCTAATGACCTAAGTTTGTGTGTTTGTATTGTTCTACTGTGGAGGACGATTTCTTTGATTATTTCTAATCATCATATTGAATACTTATTTTAGATTCATTTTTCACTTTATACCCAGAGGTCTTTGTTTCCTAATTGATCTTTTCTCACATCATTTTACTCTCACTCTATAGATGGTCTCTAGTCATCTCTCTCAGAATCTGAATTACAGTTTTGGTTTTGAAAAGAGGTTTCTTCTGTTGCCTTCATCCTATTACCTTGGGATTCCGCAAGTCTCTTTCCTACATTTGTGTTCCTCTTTTTCATGTTGAGTTTCTAGTAAAAAAGAATGAATTTAGCTTTTATAAACTACAGGAATGAATCACAGATGCATAATGATTTTAAAGTCTCTAGGTGATTGGTCACTGCACAGACAGCAACGTGTGGAATTGTGATGCCTTTTTTTGGTCCAGCAATGAACCTACATGGCATTTTACAAAAGTAGATAATTGAGAGAATTGATGAACAAAGATGAAAGCACAGTAAAGAAATGAAAAGTGGTAAGGCCAGAAGTATGCAAATGGAGTTGAAGTCAGCTGAGGTGGGCACGGCTGCACTATCTTTCTAGAGAGTAGCTGTGAAGCCAGAGAATTTATGGACATAATGAGGAAAACGAAGAGGGTGAAGGTGTCCCAGAAATAACAATGGGCAAAAATCTCATTGAAGGGACTGAGATACTCTTACATTGAAAGTAGAAATGATAAAATGTTGGAAGCCAATCCTAATTTAGAAACGAGTGAGGCAATTTGCAGAGGTGTAGAAATGATGCCTGCTCCATGCCATGTACAAGAAAAAAAAGGGAAGCCCTTTTTTTTTTATTATAGAAACACACTTGATTCTCAATGTTTTATGTTATTTTCTTATGCATTTAACAGTAAGATGTTTAATAGTTTGACAAAAATTTAAAAATTTATCATCATGAATATATTTTGAGAAGAGCATAAAAAGTGGATTCGTTGGTATACAGAGGTGAGGCTATTTATGATCTAGTGTGAATTATTAATAGATTAGGTTCGGGATTCCTTTTCATTACATCATTAGCTCTGAAAGGGGAAGTGCTCTTGGTACTCCTGTTTGTCTGTTTCTTTAACTAGAGCAACCACATTTCTTCTGTTTTCATCTTCCTAGTGTCACCAGAGAGTGTGCATGAGTGAGCTTTACTTTGTACATCAACTCATCTAAAAAATTATATAGTCTTCAGTTTGCACAGTATTGCAGGACCACAAAGTTACCACTTGCTGAAACCATGCAAAGGTGATCTTAATAAATTTTGACAAAACTTTAAATGTGGGAAAAGTTGTGCATGGAGCTTCCATGCCCTTTGGGCACACCACTCTCCCAACACCTCCATGTGTTCCCAGACTGGATGTTTCTTGGCTATTTTTAAAAAAGACTTAAGTGGGTCTATGTGGGGATCTTTTCTTTTAGAGCTGTTTTATTTTTTTCAGAGAGGATTCCATCAGCTTCAAACCCAGGGTAAAAATGCAATATAGGTGCATTTTAATTGATTGTTTTCAGACTCATACCTCGTTCCTACCCTGTGCTTTACCTAATTTCCCTGAACCCTGGGCTTTTCCTCCAGTGTGGGAGATGTTAAATGCCTGGATGCTGGTGTGTGGAGTGGACCTTCCTGCAGACTCCCTACCAACGTCCACTTTCATTCCTTGCTTCACACTCCATTTTGAATCCAGGGAGGACTGGGACATGGGCTGTATGCTGAGAGGTGTCCCCATTTAGCTTGCATTCGTGGCTTCTTACACCCTCTCATCAGCTTTCCATCTTCTAAATGTCTTCAGTTTTCTTGGTTGCTAATGGTTCTCTTATTCTCTCTGATGTGGATTCATACCTTCTGCATCCCTTTATTAGGGCCTGGGGAGGCAGAGGAGATACTGTTTGCAGCTAGTTTTCCATCTTTAAGGGAACTTCTCTGACTTGTTTATAAGATGAAGGATTTGAACCAGTGCACATGGGCAGAAAGGAGAAATGTGATACTCTATATAGGAGAAGTTTGGGCTTTAAAGTATCTTTATTTATCTGGGAAGCACACTTTGGGCATTAAAGATGGGTAGACACCACTGCTGGCAATCTACTTGTGGCGATCATCTTCTCCCAAGCTCCACATTTTAGCCTTGTACAGAGTGATGTCATTGTAGACCTTGAAGTGATTCAGCCTGTGGTCATCACGTTCTGGGTTGATCTAAACAGAATGGAAGTGTCAGAAAGCAGCCTGTGGGGAAGGGGGAAGACCTGGGTTCAAGCCAATGGTCCTGGACCTGAACCAGGCGCCACTCCGCTGATGCATGTCTGGTGGTTCTTTTCCTTGCTAAGCCCAGTTTGCAAAACTAAGATGACTACATTGACATCAAAGGAGTTGCAGGGCTGAATGAGAAGATCCTGTGCAAAGTTGCTGCCCTTCCCTTTCCACTGCCTAAGTTGGAGGCCTGTGGACTCTTTCCCCCACTGGACCGTGAGCTCCAGGAGGGCAGGCGCTGTGTCTGCTTAGTCACTGTTTATTCCTGCACCTGGAACAGTATGCAGCACACACTAGGGACTCAGTACATATTTGTGAATGAGTGTGTTGTAGTTACACAGAGAGCTGAGTAAGCATGAGAACTCTGACATGTAAATCTTTTTCCTTTTTTTTTTTTATCCACACCTGAGGATATTTTTTCCATTGCTTTACAGAGAGTGGAAGGGAGAGAGGGGGGAGAGAGAGAAGCATCGATGTGAGAGAGACACATCGATTGGTTGCCTCCTGCACGTGCCCCAACCAGGCTAGGGGTTGAGCCTGCAACCAAGGTACGTGCCCTTGGCCAAAACTGAACCTGGGACCCTTTAGTCCGCAGGCCTATGCTCTAATCACTGAGTCAAACCAGCCAGGGCTGACCTGTAAATCTTGTAGAAGTTCCACTGTGCAATTAACCTAAAGGACACACTGTTAGCACATGTTACTAGGAGACCAGAGGCTGAGTGGTATTCATTGAGTGTGCTTCCCCGGTGTCCTGTTACTGGGGTTGGGGGTTCTCTGCTTGTGCAGGCTGAGGTCCTGCCAGGGGCCGGGAACCCTAAGTGAAGTTAGGATTGACCAAACCTTTTCTGCCCTCTAGCGCATCACTCTGAAACTCCAGCATAATTAACTTTTATGTTTGCACAACTGGATGTAATGGTAGTGTGGTATAGTTTACTATGCCACCAACGCCGTCTAGTGGCAGCAGTGCCCCCAGTTTATAATGATGAACATGGTGAGCTTATTTACAACTCCATGGTGGATACCTGATGTGACATCCCAGCAGTTACCTGCAAGGCCTCAGGGGGTCGAGCAGGGCAGGCTGGCCAGGGCAGTCACACTAGTCCTTCCTGCCATGGCATGGTGAGCCTGCTGTGAGATGTGCTTGCCACATTTCCACATGCACAATTTGTACCTGTGGCAGTCAGGCTTTTAAGAAAAAGAACAATGAGCTAAATTATTGTGCTTTGTGATACTTTTGGAAGTTGCCAAGTTATCTAACTTGGATGATTTTTAATTCATCTTCACCTTCTTTCCTTCACAACCCTCTTCTTTTGTTCACTATAAGTGAATCCCTCCCCGCCTGCACCCCCCCTCCCCATTTCCCTTTGAACATCTGTCTCTTCCCCAGCTGTCTATCTGGCCTCTGCCTCTTGGACTCAGTCCCTCTGTGAAAGTGGTGGGGTTCCCGTTGGGACCCTTGCCCTGTCTCCTCTCTCCAAGGCGATGCCCTGGGTCTGAAGAGAGCTGCTAAAAATGTGCAGCTATTAGCTCTCCTCACTGGAAGAGCTGACTTACTGAGACACTTACCCAATGTCCATGCAGTCACCCTGCAGCAGAGCCCTGTGCCCCAGACTGGAGTTGGAAAAATGGGGGAGAAGGCCAGGTCCCCATAGTAAAAATAAGAGAATGGTATGGGGAGTTGGTGGGAAGGGTGTACACTATGTAACTACTCAATGGACAAAGACAACCCAGCACAAGCCAAGGGGCCAGGGGAGGCACCTGCTGGCCCTTAGAGGGGCCATGTGCCCCCCTTTCTATTCTTCAGTGACAGTATAGTAGCCCACACTTATTGAGCATTTACTATGTGCTAGCCTAGCAAGTTTTATACATTTCTGGTTAATCCTCACAACAAACCTTCAAGCACCAATATTTTTATCCCCGCTTAACAGTAAATAAATGGAGATTTAGAGTTTCCATTCACACAGCTAGAAAGTGGTGGAGCTAGGATTTGAACTCAGGCTGTCTGGCTCCAGAGCCACCATATTATATTGAAACACTGAATTGAATGGAGCTGTAACAGCAGGAGGCACACGGTACTATAGAAGCACAGGGGGCAGTGCCCAACTCTGCCTGGTGGAGAGTGGGGGGGCAGAAGTCCCGTAATGGGACTTTATGAAAGAGGTGACTCCTGAGCTGTCCTGAAGGATGAGTAAGACTTCCCCAAGGAGCAGTGGTTAGGGGTCCAAGGCTGGGCTGCAGGAGCAGCACATGTGGAGGTACAGGGTGTGTAAGATTGCAGTGCCTTTGGGGCCATGAAGGAAGTTCTGATACAGCTGTGGAACAGGGTCTCCAACATCATATCACTCACAAAATATACAGATGCACTAAAAGCCTAGTGTTATAAAACAGAACATTTAGGGGAAAATGTAGAAGGAAAGTTAGCTGTTTTGTAACTCAGGATGTTGAAGGTTTTCCTAAGCAAGGCACAAAACCCAGAAACCATAATAGAAAACATTGGCACAATGCCTCCTTAAAAACTAAAACCTATGTGATGAAAGACATTAAGGCACAGTTGAAAGACATGGGTGGCAGAAAGTTCTTCAAGATGTCTATTTAGAAGTCTACATTTTTTCCTTAGTAACAGAAGCCCTTTTTCGTTTAGGGTGATGATGTGCTAAAGGCTCCTTGTAGGTAGTGGGGGCCTTCCAATCAAATGAGGTGAGTACTGTTGCTATCATTCCCACTTTACAGGTAAGGGGACAGAACTTGGAGATGTTTAGTGGCATGGCCAAGACCAGCCTACTAATTACTAGCAGAGCAAATTCAGGCAGTCTGTTATCAGTTAACTTTGTTCATTTAACACTTACATGGTACTTACTATGTGGCAGGCACTGTTCTTGCACCTTACAGATCCTACCTCATTTATTCCTCATAACCTTATGAGATATGTACTGTAATATCTCCAGTTTACACTGAGAAAACTGAGTCATAAAACAGCTTGGTCACTTATTCAATGTCACACAGCTAGGAAGTGGTAGCCAGAGTTCAGAATCAGGCATCAGGTCCATACTCTGCTATCTCAGCCCCCACCTGTTGCCTCTGTGCTTCCTAAGTCAAGTAGACACACTTACCAAGGGCCCTGAGAACCATCCAATTTCTTGGCTTTCAGTCTGTGTCTCTGGGTATTTCTTCCTGGGTCCTTGGGCAGCATGGTGAACGAGATTCAGAAACTTGTCTGGATGGGGCATGAGTTATTAAGAGTCAGTCTTTGAAAACAACATGTGGTTCTGTGCCCTTTTTACTCTGGACACTTCCTTCCTTAGAGACAGAGTACCTGGGCTCAGAGGCTTGCTTAGGCCTCATGCCAAGGGTGTCCAAAGTCACACAGAGTGGCAGAACCAGGATTTAAACTAAGTATAATTTCAAGATGTGTGCTTGTAACAGCTAATGTTTGGTGAATGAATAAATGCAATGTTCAGGTCATTAGGAACATTTTTGTTGGCTTGAGAGTTAATAAATGAAGTATGGCGGAATATGTCAGCCTCTTGTGAGCTTGGTTAGTTTGAGTCCAGTTTTCAGATGATCAAAGCAGAGGACTGTTATTTGCCCCAAGGTCAGACTACCCCGAGAGGACTGTGCAGCTGTCCGCCTCTCTTTGTTCTATCTCAGTGGTGTTCTCAAACCCCAGAACCTACCATCTGCAGGTTCCTCCAGGTTATCGTGCCAAGACATGGGCTTTCTGGTGATTGTGTGAACTAGAGAAAAAAATAGCATCACAAGTTTCCGTTAAAACGCCAATTCCTTGCCCTAAGACCCACCTTAGGCCATACAACCACTTAGTATTTTCTCAGTGTCTGTCACATGTCAGGTATTGTGCTGGACATGAGGGAATAAGGCCCTCGAGGACCTGACAGTCTAGAGTTTCACTGTCCAGCTCTGTGGCCAAAGTCACACTAGGCACATCTCAAGTGCTCAATAACACATGTGGCTAGTGGCTACCATTTTGGGCAGCACAGTTTCATCATGGCAGAATTTCTATTGGACAGCATTAGTGTTTAGCGATGCAGACACACCAGTCAGCCAAACGAGGTTAGACAGAGAGTGACCTATACCAGGTGGCCACATGATCCACAGACATCCACTCAACCTGTAATTACTGGTGCACTGGCAGGACTTTAAACAGAAGGTCTCCATACTCCCTGAGCTTCCATTCTATTTGAGGTGACCGACAATATACAATTATATCATTTCAGGCAAATACAGGTGAGATGCACAACAGTAAAGCAGGTTCTGTGGGTAGAGAGTTGATGGTGGGTGGGGGTGGGAGGTACATTAGAGCAGAGTCCTGCATAAAGTGAGTGGTTGTGCTGGGTGAGGATATGGAAAGAATCTAAGGTTGATCCTGGTGAGTTTGAGAAGTACCTAAAATGCCAGAGTAATTCAAGAGGAGTGACCTAGGTAGATAGTGGGAAGAAATGAGCAGAGGCGAGAAGGAACCACTGGTCTCCAAAGTGACTTTATGTCAAACTTCTAATAAAAAACCTCCGAGTTTGCATTCCTATGATTACCAGTATATTAACAAAGCATAATTTCTTTTTTTTCTACATAAAAGTAAACATAAATACAAGTTCTAATATTTTCTCACTAGACCGCAATGGATCATATTAATCATGATTTCAAGGGGCACAAGTTGGGAGAGCAGCACTTTTCCTAGAAAGCCTGAGGCTGCTGAGGGATTAAATTGTTGGAATGGACCAACTTAAACAAAACTGGACATAAAGTTGTTTTCCTGAAATTAGCAGTTAGGGACTCTAGTGGAAAACCAGGTTAAATTGTAAGAAAAGTGAAGGCATTAGATTTTTTGTGCGTGCACATAGACAAAGCCATGCACGTACCTGTGTGCGCGCACACACACAGTGGGTAACTGTGAGGAGACGGCTATGCTACTTAGCTTGACTGTTGTAATCATTTTGCTATGTATATCAAAAACATGATTTTTTTTATGTTAAAAATGACATTACATTTTTGTCTGTAGAGGTGGGCTGCAGTGGACTAGAATTAATTTAGTCTAGAAGTTGGGGCAGAAGTTCAGGAAGAAGGAACAATGTTTATAAAGGGAAAGAGGTTGGGAATGACCGGATGTGTTAGGAAATCCATTTATTTAGATGGCAGGAAAGAAGGGAGCATGTGGCTGGTGCAGAGCAGGCACTAAAATATTTCTCCAAGGCAGAGTGTGTGGGTGGGGAGGGGAATGAGGGTTAAGTTGGTGGGCAGCAGGGCCAGATCTACAGGGGTCTGCACATCAGTTCAAATCTCGGCTCAGAAGCTATGGGGCCACTGAGGATTTTACAGAGGGATGGCAGGATCAAATGCCTGCCAGCAGTGTAAACGTAGGAGGTGAGGGGGTGGGGCTTGGAAGAAAATAGTAGTTAAGAGTCCATGAGATCAATCCAGGCAGAAGTGAGGAGGGCTCTGTTGAGGCCTGGGGATGAGCATGGAGAGGGGCAGACTCAAGCACTATTTAGAGGGCAGAATTAAGCGAGGAGAGATGGAGATGCCTCCACATGCATGACGGTATGTTCCACTGAGGTAGGAACATGGGAAGAGGCTGGTGAGAGAAATGTTAACCAGGACTGGGAGGACTTACATGTGTGGGGTGAGGGAGTGATTGAGGATGACTCCTAGGCTTCAAACTTGGGAGAGCAAATGGTTGTGGTGACTTTTGCTAAGAAAGGATATTCTGCAGTAGCAGCAGGTAGGGAGGGGAGCAGAATGTGCCTAACTTTGGAACTGGTGCGTTTGAGGCACCCCTGGGTTGACCAGGGGAAGTGGGAGCTGGCAGGTGTTTGGGCAAATGGGTCTGGGACTCCATTGGAGCCTCAATGGGGCGATGATGTTACAGGAGGGATGAAACCACCCAAGGAATGTGCAAAGTCAGGAGCAGAGGGTACGGATATTTTGTTAGGGGGACACTATGGGCCCTGAGTCTACTACCCCTGAACTTTCCAAAGACAATTTAGAAGCCTAAAAACCCCCCAAACCTTTGCTCGCTAAAAGCAAACCAAAACTACAGACAAAAATACATAAAACCCTGCCAAATATAATTATTTCAAAAGCAAAATGATAAAAAGCCTTTTAACTCTTTTACAACAAAAACATCTCATCGCGACTATTTAAATATATCTACTATCTGACGTGACGCGCGGTGAGACACCCCCTACCCTCCTCCCCGGGTAAAAGTTCTAGTTCCCGAAGTCTAGGAATGGGGTGAGGTCCGAGGAG